GTTCATTAGACCCATGTACACATGCCCATGGTCTAGTTTAAATTTTATTTCCTTCACCTCTGATGGTGCTGTGGTACAGAATATTAGTGGTGCAAAATATTATGTGGTTGGTTCATGGTAGGGTCCAGGTTCTGGAATTGGCCTCCAGACACACAGAAGCTGCCAACCCTTGCTATAGAGAAACAAATTGTTCTTAGGACACCAAAGAAATGTCTAAGTGGTAAACAACTTCATCCCCATAGTCTAGCATGTAGGTCAATGATAAGAAATTATAGTAGTCCTACTGCAAAATATTTGGAGGGTATCACATTGTTTCCTACTCCAAACACAAAAAAGCTCCCTAGGGAAAGTCATTTAGAGTGAACTTGCATGCATGCATGCATCCACACATGATATATATGATGCATGATGCATGATGTGGGCAACTGAAGCAGGCTTGGGGACTATTTTTCTGCCCCTGGACCTGCAGGGGCTGTCAAATATGATAAAACTGGGAGTGACAGAACTTTATTTTGTTTTGTTTTTTTAATAGAGATTAAAATAATATTAAATAATGCAAGAGATTCTGCAACTTATTTAAAAAATGAATTGCCTTCTATGCTGGAGCCTTCCAGGAGAGGCATTTCACCCTTTTGCTGGCCAAAAAGAGGCTAACTGCGAAGTTTGCAGTGATTGCGAGCTCTTAAACAGTCTTTTGCTAGCCCTGATACACATATGTTTGTGAGCACACAGACACACACAGAAACAAATATGTTCACCTACTCATATTTCCTGTTCATAATCACGGGGTTGTTTTATTGGACTGCAACTCCCAACAGCCTTATCTAGGATAGCCAATGATAAATAGTGCTTGAAATTGCAGTCCATCTGGTTGGCTGTATTATTCCCATTTAGTGTAGAGGCTCCCATTCTTTCACCTGAATTTCTATGGAATAGGAATTCCCCACATGCCACAGGCTAAATTAAAGGTAAAGGTTTGCCCTTTGGCAGGTTTGTGTTGGTCTGTCCAACTGTAGGGGGTGATGCTCATCTCTGTTACCAAGCCAAGGGAGCCAGCATTGTCAAAAACAACTCTGTGATCATGTAGCCAGCATGACTGCACAGAATGCTGTTATCTTCCAACCAAAAAGGTAATCATTTATCTACTTGCACTTTTACATGCCTTTGAGCTGCTAGATTGGCAGAAGCTGGGATGAGTAATGGGAACTCACTCTGTCACAGGGTGCTTGGGTCTCGAACAGCCAACCTGCTGACCTTGCAAATGTCAGAGTCAGCATCTTA